GTTGACAACATAGCGCTCAACTTCAGGATCGCCGCCTGCACAGCAGATCCGTTCCAGTGCTGCTCTCAGAGTGCGCTGCCGGCTGTCCGGCAGCATCGGGAATGGAACTCCGAGAACATCCAGCTGGTCGTCAGTCAACATGTAAGAGTCGATGGGCCCCATGTCCTTTGGCTGCGGCCATGACATGTCCGCTTGTTGGCAGTCGCGTCGACAGCCGATGATAAAGATGCGTTCTCGATGTTGTGGCACTCCGGCATGCACACGAGCATTAAGCAGCTCCACCTCCACTTTGTAATCCGCTTGGCCGTCTCTGTCCTGGAGGCCCACAAGAAATTCCACTACCTCCTCAAGCAGCTGCTCGTGGCGCAAGAGGAGGCCCGCCACGTTTTCCACGAGAAACGTTTTGGGTCGGTGCATGTCAATCCATTGCAGAACTCGCAGCATGGGTTGCGACCGGTGGTCGTTCTCTCCGCCTGCCTGGCCTGCAACAGAGTATGGCTGGCATGGCGGGCCAGTGACAAAGCAGTCGACGGAGTGGGTGTCCTGGCGAGGTCAGGCACTATCCGGACGAGGGCATCTGTGCACAAAGGCCCAGCCTTACTCGCCTAAATCTACAGGGCCAGTCCTGCAGGAAGGCCGGCTCGAACACGTCTGTGAAGAAGCGCTGGTGCGACCACACTTCCTGGTTGAAGCGGATGCAGTGTGGGTCGCAGTCGCACCCAAAAGCCGGAGTCACGCGCAGGCCCAGTCGCTTTGCAGCAAACAGCTCCGACGACCAGCCGGAGCAGGCGCTCCCGATGCTGATGCAGGCCTGCCTGCACGGGGGCGTTCTCGATCGCTGTCTGCTTCCACTCATGGTCACGCAGATGTGCCACTATATCGAGGAGCTACTCACTCGAGCCCAGCGCAATGCGTTCACAGTCCTTGCTGCACAATCTTCTTGAGTCGACAAGCTTGATGCATCTGCAAGTTGCATAATGATACACTACACCCGGTCTGCAGCAGCAACAGAGCACCCGTCCGCCTCCGTCAGTACGCAGGCCCGCCTGCCGCATTATTGCAGGTCAAAAGGCACATGCCAAGCACACGAGATCACCCGACGACATGTCTGGACGCGACCCGGCC